GACAATTTAAAGTTCTAGAATTACTAGTAGTATGTTTAAATAATTTGTAAACCTAAATCAAACTAGCTGGGGCAAGTACAATGGAGGGAGTTGGGTGTAAAGTATGGCAGCAGAATTTCTCATCACTCAAGAGCTTGGGAATCTCATCAATCAATCTCATCCCTCACGAAGCTTAGGCAATCACTGCTCTGTGCACACTAAGCTCTTACTGCTGCCGTGTAATGCTGTGGGGGGCTTTTTAGAGACTGCTTTGTGGTTTAGTGTTAATGTTGCTGTTGAGACTTGTGGTTTTTTTCATCAGTTTTATTGGAACATAATTCATATACTCATACAATTAAATTGTTAAATTGTTCAATCCTATCAAGAGGAATTGTACAATCACAACATCAATCCCGCAGCATTCCCCAACCATAGTTATATCACCTTTAAAATGAGTTGTGCAACAATCTGTTCTAGTACTCCCTTCCCCCTCCCACCTTCAACATTTACTGTAGAACTCCCTATTGCCTATCCCCCACCCTTGCATTCCTTATAACACCTTGTATCAGTTATTATCATTATACATTCACTCCTGTGCTTCATAGCTGGGAAACCCAACAGAAAACAATGAAAAACAAATCATACTAAGGTGGTAAGGATAAGATGTACGAGTATAAAGACAAAAATACAAATAATGTGTCAGTGGGAGAAGACCCCCATCAACATTAAAAAAGCCAGGGGAGGAATTTCTGTCATGAAAAAACTCAGAGATATTTGCACCCAGAACAAATTCAGGTTGTGTCTATAGGGAGGTCAATTGACCAAGGATCAAGCGTAATAAGATTATAATGGTCTCTGCCTGATAGTAAGGCTGTTGTGGACTCTTGCCTTTGACTAGAGTGGATCTACCAGCGACTCGGTCTGACTAGATACTCTGCAGATGGGTTTGGGGCTCCCATTGTCCTGCATAGCCTTCTACATATTGGGTGTTCATAATTTTAGTTCTGATACTTTTCATCATATTCAAATTATGTAATTATCGTGTTTGGATCACACAAGCTTTCGTGTGCTTCTTCCATGTGGATTTAGTTAACTCTTCACTTAGATGGCTGCTTGTTTGAATACAACAAGCCTTTAAGACCCCAGACACTATTCTGATTGATAGCCGGGCACCATCTACTTTCTTTACACCATTTTGGTGTCGCACCCTTCAGTGACCATTTCATGAAGGTGAATGTCGAGTAGGGCCATTATGTAAGAACTAATTGTTAAGTTGGAAGTAGGATTTAGTGCGAGCCCAGAACTCATTCCTGGATCTATGCTTTTTTTTTTTTTTTTTCTGTAACCTGGGAATTAATACATACATCATATCATTCCATAGTCCAATCATGTCCAACTTAATTGTACAATTGCTTCCATAATCAGTCTCTAAACACACTTTTCCTTACTGGGCTTTTTGACGTCTTCTCCTTCTTGTCTCCCCAGCTCTCTATCTCCCCTCCCCCAAACCCTTATGTTTTTTTCCCCTGTAGGCTCAATATCCCTGGGGTTCATTTACCAGAAAACAGAGAAACAAAACAGCTTTAAGAGGGTGACCCCCAATGGTGGCGCACCTCTGAGATAAACCCTAACGTGAACAAGCAGAAGCAAAATATAACAATGACCATCACTGATTTGGCGGAATAATCGTCTCTTAATACGGCATCCAAGGTGTTGATGTAGCAAGATCTTGTTTGGCCGCCAACCAAGAGTATTCTACACTTGGTACAGCTGCCTTGTGCTGCCTCAGACACCATGTGTTTTCCATCTTAAGTCCTCAGGTTACAAGTGTGCCTTGAACCTAAATTTGAGGTTTTTTTAAACACCTATGTGCTGAAGACATTTGCTGCAGTCAAAACAGGTTGTCCTTTTGATAATCCCTTAACTAGGGTTAAAGTGTTTTTTCAGAAAGGGAGATCTTTGGTTCCTGTAAGGACTGTTACCTGAGGTTCCTTGCCTTCCATTTCAGAGACTGATTGATCAACATAGACCAAGTATGATCTGTTCTACTCAGACACATACGCCAGACCCTAGAGTCTAGAAAATCCCTTCTGCCAGTACTGCTACAAGATTCAGTGTGGTGGTAATTCTTTCCTATCACTGATGCTGGACTTTTTAGAGGAGAAAGGAGAAGACTGTTAGAGGCACCCTGTGTAAGAGAACTTTCTTGGCGTCTCTGCTACGATCACCATACTGATCCTGCTCTGGCATTCAGCTCCTCAGTGCATTGCTTCAGGGTTCTTTTTTGTTTGTTTATGTCCTTTCTTCTGCTGCCTTCCTGAGAGTAGCCCTGGTCTCATGTTTTTTTATTAGGATTTCTCCTCTTTGGGGGTTGTTAGGTTCAGAGTGTGCACCTATCAGACTCTGAGTTCCAGATTTGCCCTATCTTTGAATACCACCGAGTTGAGCAGTGTTTTGGCCGACACCGGTAATAATCCTTACCCAATGTCTTACCTCACTTATTCCAGCAATGTCGTCCGAGGCTCCTTAGAGTGGTTTGAGCTGTGAACCTGTGGTGGAGTAATACTTGACCATTTCCAGCTCTCAGAAACTCCACTCGGGCAGATTAGAACTGCCCTTGTGGGTTTACAGGGTGGTAAATCTTTCTACCACAGAACAGCTGGTGGGTTTGAACTCCTGACTTTGTGGTTAGCAGCCCAAGGTATAACCCACTAAGCCAGCAGGGTTCCTAGGAACGCCATTGCTAAAGATAACTCCACAGATGAAGATATCCCAGTAAAAGTAGGTTTGATTTTCCTCTCCTTTAATCTCTAGATATGTTAAACAAAATAATAATAAGGGTTTTATCTAAAATATTTTAATCATGTGCCTATTTGTGTCCCCTCTAATTTACCTTAAGGAGCCCTGATGATGCATTGGATTGAGCTTTGGACTGCTAACTTCAGGGTCAATGGTTCAAGCCCACCAGCCAACACACAGGAAACAGATGAGGCTATCTGCTCCTATAAAGATTTACAGGCTCAGAAACCCTAAGGAAAACAGTTCTACAATTTCTATAGGGTTGCACGGAATCAGAATTAACTGGATGGCAATAAGGTCTTAATTTACCTGTAGGGATCCCTGGTAACTCAGGGCAAGAGGTTAACTCAACTGCAACAGATTTTAATTACTTTTAAATTTGATATCTCCCACTCTTTAAGGGATAGTCAGATAATCTTGGTTTGTCTTCCAAAGGAGAACCAAATGTGCTGGCCTAGGTTCATTTGGTCTCTGCAGTGTTTCCCAAAGTGAGTAATACTGCTCCTTGTGGGGTATTGGAATGATCCATGGGGTCTTCAAAAGCAGGCCTTTTGCACATACCTACACTTGATCCTGTGAGGAGCCCTGGTGGGGCAGTGGTTACGCATTGGGCTGCTAACTGCAAAGTTAGCAGGTGTTTTTTTTTAAATCATTTTACTGGGGGCTCTTAGAACTCTTGTTACAAAGCGTACATCAGTTGTATCTGAAATATTCCATCATTCTTTTCTAGACATTTACTTTCCATTGAGCCCTTGGGATCAGCTCCTGTTCCCCACCTCCCCCCAACCCTCTTAGCCCTCTGATAGATTGTTCAAATCTCACTCTGACTTCTGTCTCCCTTCCCCTCTGGTTTCTGGTGTTCTTCCCCCTGGCTGGGGGTGTGTGGTTATGTGCCATTCATTGCGATTGGTGCCTCTCTTTCTCCCCACCTCTCCCTCCCTTCCCTCTGCCCTTTTGGTGTCTCTGTTCCCATTCCTGTTTCTGGGTTCCGTGTGTTGTGAGTTTTATCTCTTGCCTATCCCTATGTACATGGTCCCGTCTAGTCTAGATTGGGAGGCAGCACTGAGGTTGTGATATTGCGTGGCACATTAATGCTCTATTGCACCCTGATTGACTCACACCCACCCACCCCTCCTGCGACCCCTCTGTGGGAGGATGTTCCATCGAAGGTCAACAGTTTGAAACCACCAGCTACTTCAGAGTGGCAGTGATTTTTTTTTTCTTTACGACACTTTATCCTGGATTATGGCCTACAGTTTAAAATTTTTTAATTACCAGTAGTGTACAAAGTGATTTTTTATTTTTCCCCTGAAGAGGACATGGGTAGGACAAATAAGTTAAGGAACCTATACTCTATAGCAGCGGTGCTTAATCTGTGGGTCACGACCCCTTTAGGGGGGAGGTGTCGAACGTCCCTTTCACAGGGGCCGCCTAAGACCATTGGAAAACACATATTTCTGATGGTCTTAGGAACCGAGACACTGCTCCTTTACCCATCTCCAGGCAGGTCTGCCCACATGTAGATACATCCATATAGGAGTACCCAGCGTGAAGACTGTTAACCCATGCGACACCATACTTCAAGCCAAAATTTCATTTATTTGTAATTAGAAATAAATATTTAACAATATATAATTACATATTGTTTTTGTGATTAATCACTATGCTTTAATTATGTTCAATTTATAACAAAGAAAGTACATCCTGCCTATCAGATATTTACATTAAGATTCATAACAGTAGCAAAATTACAGTTATGAAATAATTAAAATAATTTTATGGTTGGGGGTCACCACAACAGGAGGAACTATATTAAAGGGTCGCGGCATTAGGAAGGTTGAGAATCACTGCTCTATAGTTTCACATATGGTGTACTGCTCTGCTAATAATAGCAGGCTCAGCCTCTTATCTCTCAAATATGTATGGAAAAAGTTATTAGTAATTGAAAACTCTTTTCTAGATCAGCTCACTGACTGACAGACCAACCTACACTATCTCAATCGCCATCATGTGTCCCCTAAATAAAAAAATGACTCCACAAAAACAATAAGGTTATACTAGCTCTGAAAGAGAGGGTTAAGACAGATCAGCTAGGAATGACTTCCTCCAGGTGTTTTTTAAAATCTGATAATGTATTTTGTGTGTTTGGCTTTATGCTGTTCTTTGCCCATAAAAAAAAAAAGAAAAGCCACACTCCATCAATTAATAATTTTTCTTTTCAGTGTCCAAAAGAAGACTTACATCAAAATGAACAACCCAGCTATTAAGAGACTAGGAGACCACATTGTCAAGTCTCCTGAAGATAAGCGGGAATACCGAGGACTGGAGCTGGCCAATGGCATCAAGGTCCTTCTCATCAGCGATCCTACCACAGATAAGTCATCAGCAGCACTTGATGTACACATAGGTAACAATTTAAATTATGAATTAAAGCTTTGCTCAGTTTCATTAACTTACTATGTTGATGCTTCATTCTGATGTACCTTACTTTGCATGATAGCCTGGTATAGCTTCAGGTAAATCAGTTATCCAGACCAAATAGTTATGCAAGAGGCGTTCAAAACATTCATGGAAAATTTTTATTATCTTTTAGTTCCACGTTGCAGCCCCTCATACATTTAACAGAAGTATCTTGTTAAATTCCCTCCTGGAGGTACCACGCAGCAAGGAAATTCACTCCTGTCCTTTATAGTAACTGTTCCAATGTTGTCACTTTTGATATTTAATATCAGATTTTTTAGGCTCTTAAGCTCACACTTCTTCCATATTCAGTGTTACTTTTATCAGTTTGTGTGTGTATATGTGAACTTAGTGGGTTATGTTGCTGTTTTCCTGTCAGAAATTTTTACTTTGATTTTAGAGTTTTCTTTCATTTTGCTGTGGTTGGTTGCCATCGAGTCAATGCTGACTTACTTATGATGACCGTGTGTGTGTGTGTGTGTGTGTGTACAGGGTCTGTGAGACTGTGTGTGCAGGCTTGCATGTACAGGGTCTGTGAGACTATATTTGTGTACAGGGTCTGTGAGACTGTGTGTGTGTGTGTGTGTATATGTACAGGGTCTATGAGACTGTGTGTATATGTACAGGGTCTTTGAGACTGTGTGTGTGTATGTACAGGGTATGTGAGACTGGTGTGTGTGTGTGTGTGTGTGTGTGTGTGTGTGTGTACAGGGTCTGTGAGACTGACCTTTCAGAAGCAGGTGGCCATGTCTATTTTCCAATGTGCTTTTGCTTGTTTTGTTTTGTGTTCCCAAGGTGCTTTTGTATGGGTTCAAACTGCCAACCTTTCTGCGAGCAGTTGAGTATTTAATCAGTTGCACTACCTAGAAATACCTTATTTTATTTTAGAATTGGGGAAATAAAATAATAACCATCATATGCAGAGTGGCTTGCAAATATCATGCAATGTAGTACTCACACACACTCTTATTATCAATAACCCATATTATTGGGAGCTCTTAGAATAATCCATATATCAGTTATATCAAGCACATTTGTACATATGTTGTCATCATTATTGTCAAAACATTTTCTTTCTGCTTGAGCCCTTGGTATCAGCTCCTCTTTTTTTCCCTCCCTCCCCCATCCTCCCAACCTTATGGACCCCTGATAAGTTGTAAATTATTATTATTTTCAGATCTTAACACCTTCCACTGTCTGCCTTCACCCATGTTTCAGTTGTTCGTACCCCTGGAGGGCAGGGTTATATGTTGATCATTGTAGTCTGTTCCCCATCTCTCCCCCTTCTCTCCCTACCTTCCCCCTATCCTTATGGTATTACTACTCCCATTACTGTTCCTGAGCGGTTTCTCTGTCCTGAATTCTGTGTGTCAAGAACTCTTATCTGTACCAGTGTACATGCTCCAGTCTAGCTGGATTTGTAAGGTAGAACTGGGTTCATGAGAGTGGGGAGGAGGAGGTATTAAAGAGCTAGAGGAATGTTTCACACACTCTCTTAAGATAGGTATGGTTTACAACATACAGAAGTGACTGAGACTGGTAGGAAAAGCAGTGTGTTCAAAGCGTCACAGCTAGTAAAGCTGCTAACACTCAAACCCATGCTTTTAGTACGAGGCTGAATGGTCTCCTGCATTAACTGTAAGAACTGGAATACTTTATCTCTGTAGATCAGTGATTTTAACTTTAAAAAAAAAATCATTTTATTGTGAGCTCGTACAACTCTTGTCACAATCCATACATACATCCATTGTGTCAAGCACATTTGTACATTTGTTGCCCTCATCATTCTCCAAACATTTGCTTTCTACTTGAGCCCTTGGTATCAGCTCCTCATTTTTATTTTAACTCTTTTGCTCATCTTTCCTTTTAGTGTTTAGTGTGAACGAATATCAAGAGATGTTAAATAATTTTGTGTAAGTTCACTAAGTGATTACTGTTAAGAGATGGGGCTATCATGATTCTTAGTATCGCTTCTATATGATACCACTTTAGAGCTGCCTATGCTTAACTCTCTATGATTATTTGGTTGGCACTATCATACTAACAGGAGCTCCATATTATTTGTAATTCATCTGTATTTAGCAGGAGTACTGGTGGCATGGTGGGTTATGTGGTGGGGTGTTCACCTCAAGGTCAGCAGTTCAAAACCACCAGCCACTCAGCTGGAGAAATATGAGGCTTTCTACTCCTGTAAAGAGTTACAGTCTTAGATATACACAGGGGAAGTTCTGTTCTGCTTATAGAGTCGCTATGAGTTGGAATCAACTCGATGGCAGTGAGCTGTTTGTTTTTTAAGTATAGCAAAAGGATTCATTTGTATATATGTTTTCTCTTTCAGGTTCATTGTCGGATCCTCCAAATATTGCTGGCTTAAGTCATTTTTGTGAACATATGCTATTTTTGGGAACAAAGAAATACCCTAAAGAAAATGAATACAGCCAGTTTCTGAGTGAGCATGCAGGAAGTTCAAATGCCTTCACTAGTGGAGAGCATACTAATTACTATTTTGATGTTTCCCATGAGCATCTCGAAGGTGCCCTGGACAGGTAATGTTGAATATACCATAAATTATCCAACTTTGTGCATCGATCTCATTCATCATCATCATCATTTTTACCAGTATTTTTTCAGTCTCATAGCTTAAAGAAAGATATTTTAACTAAAACAGCCCCCTCACGATTTACTGTGACAACAGCACCACAATATAGAAGAAAAATAATGACATCAGACTCATAAAATATTTTATTGACGTATAAAATTTTTTTAATAGTTTTATTAGGGGCTCATACAACTCATCACAATCCATACATACATCAATTGTGTAAAGCACATTTGTACATTCATTGCCCTTATCATTCTCAAAACATTTGCTTTCCACTTAAGCCCCTGGCATCAGCTCCTCATTCCCCCCCACCCCCCCGCCCCCCGGCTTTCCCCTCCCTCATGAACCCTTGATATTTTATAAATTATTATTATTTTGTCATATCTTGCCCTGTCCGATGTCTCCCTTCACCCACTTTTCTGTTGTCCATCCCCCAGGGAGGAAGTCACATGTAGATCCTTGTCATCGGTTCCCCCTTTCCAACCCACCTTCCCTCTCCCCTCCCAGACTTACAAAATTCTTATGGGCCCTCTTCCTTCTAAATGGTGTTACTTATGAAATACATGTTGATCAAAAGCACCAATAACCTAAGACTGTGGTCTGGGAGTGCCATCGAGCTCTTTGTAAAGTATTTCTTCTTCCAGACCCTACCTATTTGGTTCTACTGCAGTTCCTGCCTTTGCAAGGTTCCTTAGTGGATACAGAATGTTTTGCCCTTCTGTGTTCAACCCTGGGGAGATTTTGAAAGTATTTTCTAGAGCAAGCTTCATTTGGCCACTTTTATAACCTGGTCGATTTCTTAAGTCTTTAAGGTTTGTTTGGTGTGTGTTTTTTTTTTAATATCAATGATTTGATTTATTGTTCTAGATATCATTTTTCCTTTGTGAATTTTAACAGTTTTCTGTGTTATCAAGAAAGTGATTTTGTAGCTTTTTGATATGTCCATAATCAAGTTAGACTTGGCAGCATTAGCCAGCTTTATTTGCTTATATTAATAATAATTATGTTTTTGAAATCCTAATAACCTGCATTTTTCATTAGAAGAAAGCCGTGTTTTCAGGATAGGACTGGGTCACAGTGGTCTGTTTTTCACGGTTTCTGTCATATGTTTCCATTTTGAGACAGCAGCTTTGAGGTCTAATTGTCTTTTATAGATATTCCCAGAAGCCTTCTATTAATGAGTTACCTGGGATCATACACTGAATTTGATTTCCTGCTTTTACCAATGCTATAGCAGCTGTTCATATAATAAATCACTGTATGATGGAGAGTAACTATAACTTGGGTTAGAGTAAAACGAACCGTTCTCATAACAGAATCCTTGAAAAAATGTCCTGTGTTGTCAATGTGACACACTTTTTTCTGGGCCTATCCACCTGTGGTATGTAACTATTAGGCCCTCTCCCTGCCTGACTCTACTGAGGTAGATAAAAGGAGTTCCATGTCCAGAAAAACCTCTATTTTCATTCAGGTATATCTTTGATTCTATGGTCAGGATAAATGGAGTTTCCCTTTGAATTAGTATAGCTAAAGCACTTAGAACAGTGTCGGTTCATCTGTGTGCTTAAGTAAATATCAACCAATAATAATGGTCTTGTAGACAGCTAGACTGAGATAGTCGATGAGATGTTTTATAGGCCCAGCTGTCTCTTAGACCAGCTAAACAGTAGTCTCCTTCAGAGCCTCTGCTCTCGACTTCATTGGAAATCTAGTCTTGTTTTTGTAGGATGAGATATAAACTTTAGATTTGCCACATGCATGGTGTCTTCAGTTGCAAGCTGATGAAGAGCTCATTTATTAAGTAAAGGTTTCTTAGTTAAACTTGGGTACTATTATCAAAGAACATCCTTGAGAAGAGCATACTGGCTACAAAGTTAGAGTCACTATGATATTTATCAAATTGCTACTTATTAAAAATGTATAGATTGTTACTATTTCATAAACAACCATATAATCATGCCTTAAATACGTCAGATCTTTCACTCCTGTATTTTATTTTTTACTAAGTAAGGTTCTTTTTTCCTTCATGAAAGGGAAAAATACTCAAGCAGAATGCTTTAAAAGTAGGTCACTTGCTTTGTTCTGATGTTCTAAAGTGCCTGAATCCTAGTGAAATTGATCTTGAAACTCTACATTTAACTTGGTTTGTTTTACCTAAGAATGCTCACTTGCCTTTTCCTTTTTTGGAGAATGAGCTACATATGGCAAGGAGTTTTATAGACATGCCACATTGCAAATCTTAAGTAGCTTGCTATCGTTTCTATAAGTCTTGACTTTTTGGCATTAATCATTTTCTATTCTCATTAATTACTTTGCATCTCTAGCATAGATGACTTCTCTGAATTTACCTTTGCCCAATATTATATTTTATTTTTTACTTGGGACTTACTTTATACTATTTTTTCATAAGCAGAGTCGGTAGGTTTTTTTGACATTGTAGAATTCATGTCTCCTATCCAAGTTTTCAGAATATTATTTTTAAGGAACACTCATTTTAAAATAGCAGCTTTCAAGTGGTTAATTGTGTTTCACCCTCTTAGGTTTGCACAGTTTTTCCTGTGCCCCTTGTTTGATGAGAGTTGCAAAGACAGAGAGGTGAATGCAGTTGATTCAGAACACGAGAAGAATGTGATGAATGATGCCTGGAGACTCTTTCAGTTGGAAAAAGCAACAGGGAACCCTAAACACCCCTTCAGCAAATTTGGGACAGGTTTGTGAACAGTGGCTTTCATGCATTCCTTCTCCTTGCCCTCATTTACACCCTTGCCTTCCTTGCACAGTGTTGCATGTTACAGTTTAGGATAAAAGATATTACAGCTCCTCATTCCTCTTACCCCATTCTTCTTAAACTCCCAAGTCTGGGACTGAAAAGTAGTCGTTACACCATTGTTACTCCCTTTTGTTTCTAAAACCCGCCCCTACATGTATATATTAGCTGCCTCACCCCTGCATAGGTACCTACATTTGTGACTCTTGATCTAAAATGAAGTTGAAGGTTAAGTGTATGTTTAAGTGTATGTGCTTCATAGGGAAAACAGTAGGTTTTGAGAAGAGGGATCACCAAACGTGAAGTAAATGTGCTGGATAATAAGGTATAGAATTGAATTCAGAGTTTCAGAACAGTGAGAAGGAAGTGGCTATAATCTTGTTAGCCAATGACTGGCATTTTGGTTCGTTGTTCATAAAGAAGGATATCAGGCAGGAGGTTTTATACATAGCGTTGAGAATCATTCTCAAAACTGTATAACAATGACTTACAGTTACTTTGATCATTCCATTCAAAACCCAACCCCAACACAACCCACTGTCATTGAGTTGACCCTCTAGGACAGAGTAGAAGGTTCCTTTGAGGCTGAGACTAAATCATTTATAGAAGCAGGTAGCATTATCATTGTCCTACAGAGCAGCTCATAGGTTTGAATCATAAACCTTGTTTTTAGCAGCCCAACATGTAGCTCACTGTGCCACCCACCTCCTTATCCCATTTAAACACAGGGGTCTAAGTGTTTAGGGAGCAGATAAGAGTTGTGAGTAGACATTAATCAGCACTTTGAAGGGAGAAGATAATAGACTCAAGTATTCTGAAAGCTGCTTTCCAAATGGAAGTGCTTTTTAAATGCTCACCACTAGTGGAGCTATGGGTTAGGTCTTGGGCTGCTCAAGGTCAGCAAATCAAACCTAATAGTCGCTCTGTGGGAGAAAGCTGTAGGCTCCTATACAGATTTACACTCTTAGAAACTTTTTATATAGAAGTACTATGAGTCGGAATGAACTCGATGACAGTCTTGAGTCCCTCTGCTCTCCCACAACATCCACCTCTACATCACATACCCTCTGCTATGGAAAGGCTATTGGAGATAATCAGATAAGACACATAGAGTTCCCACTCTCAAAGGGCAAAGATCACCTGGAAGAAGAGGTGGGATGGCAGGGAGTAGAATAAAATAAGTGTGGAGGGCATTCTTGATTGTTTAATTGTACTTCGCCTTAATTATTCTTTTTTTTTTAAATTTAGAAGTATATGTTTAATATAAATATTTAAATGGCACACAAGTGTTTTAAGTAAAAAAAATGTTTCTCTTCTATTGTCGGTTTCACTCACCAGAGGCAATCTTTATGAATCGGTTGTAATGTAAAAACAAACGAACAATCAACCTACCTTGGGGGTTATGCTATTACATAAAAATAATTATAATTGTTTGATGTACTTTAAATTTATGTATATTATTTAAGTTGGTTTGGGGTATGTTTTCAAAAGCCTTATTTGTAGCTTTTCTTTAAATCTGGGAACCATTCTATATCCAGCAGCAACCAAGGAAACTTAACTTGATGATAGTGGGTTTGGTTTTCTGGTGGCTTACACAGATTTGGGGTTTTTTAAAAATTGTAATTAAACGAAAACCAAACCCATTGCCATCAAATTGATTCTGACTCATAGCAACTCTCTAAGACAGAGTAAACTTGCCCCACTGATTTCCAACACTGTAATCTGTACAGAAGCAGAGCCCACAGCTTTTTGCCACAGAGAGGTGGGTAGGTTCGGACTGTTGACCTTTTTATCAGCAGCCTGATGCTTAGCCACTGCATTACCAAAAAAACCCAACTCAATGCCATCAAGTCGATGCCAATCTTAGTGACCCTGTAGGACAGGGTAGAACTGCCCCCATGTGGTTTCCAAGACTAACTGTACAGGAATAGAAAGCTCCGACTTTCTTCCTCAGAACGGCTGTTGGTTTCAAACTGGTGACCTTGCTGATTATAGCCTACCATGTAACCACTGTACCACCAGAGCTCTTATTTGATCTTGGAAATGATGTTCTTATCTAGTTCCAAGGACTGTAAACCTAAAGGAAGCGGCATTCCTGAACATTGTGGTCCTTAAAATATCTATTGGCTGAAACATGATTTCTGTGGAGAATATCAGTACATGGTATGTCCAGAGGGAATGAAAATTTTTAAAAAAATTCAAAACCATCATATCCATATGATGTCCTCAATAGTAGTCCTTGTAGTAGGGTAGATCTTTGATGGCAACAATACTGCTGTTGTGCAGAGCATGGTGGAGCTCCTCTTTGGGAGTGGCTTTTTAAAATAACTTTACTGGTGACAGATCAGCAGCAACACATAGGAAGTATAAATTTTCAAAATTTATTTCAAAATACATTTAGTGAGTACATTGAATGAATATTAACTCCTGGTCACAATATCACAAGCGAGGAGCATCTTTTTTTTAATCATTTTATTGGGGGCTCTTATAACTCTTATCATAATCCATACATACATCCATTGTGTCAAGCATATGTGTACATTTCTTGCCATCATCATTCTCAAAACATTTGCTTCCTACTTGAGCCCTTGGTATCTCGTCCTCGTTTTTTCCCTCCCTCCACACTTCCCCTCTTTTATGAACCCTTGATAATTTATGAATTAGTATTATTTTGTCATGCCTTACACTGTTCGATGTCTCCCTTCACCCACTTTTCTGTTGTCCGTCCCCCAGGGAGGGAGTTGTATGTAGATCCTGTAATCGGTTCCCCTTCTCTACCCCACCCTCCCCCGTATTGCCACTCTCACCACTGGTCCTGAAGGGGTCACCTGTTGTCGGTTCCCTGTGTTTCCCATTCCTAACTGTACCAGTGTACATCCTCTGGTCTAGCCAGACTTGTAAGGTAGAATTGGGATCATGTAGTGGGCGGGGAGGAAGCATTTAGGAACTAGAGGAAAGTTGTATGTTTCATCGTTGCTACACTGCACCCCGACTGGCTTGTTTCCTCCCCACGGCTTCTCTGATTTTGTCAGTGGCTTTCTTTTTTGTTATTGCTTTCTGCTGTTGTTATTGTTTTGTTGGTTTTGAGTTCCTCTGTTGTTTTATTTGGCTTTGCCTGGGTTTTGCACTTATTAATGTATCTGCATGGCTGATAGGCAGGATAAATAATACAGAGATGAATAGAATAGGATCACTGTTTTATTGGGGGGGGGGTGGGAAAAGGGGAGGTGAGAGAAAGGAAATGGGAAGAGGGACCAACCCGGGGATAAGGGAACAACAAGTGATCCAAAATCAGTGGCGAGGAGGGTGTAAGAGGCCTGGTAGGTCTTGATCAAGGGCAATGTAACGGAGAGAAATTACTGGAACTCAAATGAAGGCTGAGCATAATAATGGGACAAGAGAAAAGTAAAAGGAAATAGAGGAAAGAGCTAGGAGGCAAAGGGCATTTATAGAGGTCTAATTATAGGCATGTACATATGTAAATATATTTATATATGAGGATGAGGAAATATATCTATGTGCATATATTTATAGGTTTAGTATTAAGGTAGCAGATGGACATTGGGCCTCCACTCAAGTACTCCCTCAATGCAAGAATACTTTGTTATATTAAACTGGCATTCCTTGATGCTCACCTTCCCAATACAACAGCTGAAGACAAAGTGGGTGCATAAGCAAACGTGGTGAGGAAAGCTGATGGTGCCCAGCTTTCAAAAGATATAGCGTTTGGGGTCTTAAAGGCTTGAAGGTAAACAAGTGGCCATCTAGCTCAGAAGCAACAAAGCCCACATGGAAGCACACCACCCTGCGTGATCATGAGGTGTCGAAGGGACCATGTATCAGGCATCAAAGAACAAAAAAACCTATCATTGCGAATGAGGGACAGTGTGGAGTGGGGACCCAAAGCCTATCTGCAGACAACTGGTGGTGAGAGTGGCAATACGGGGAGGGTGGAGTAGAGAGGGGGAACTGATTACAAGGATCTACATATAACCTCCCTGGGGGACAGACAGCCGAAAAGTGGGTGAAGGGAGACATCGGACAGTTTAAGATATGACAAAATAATACTTTATAAATTATCAAGGGTTCATGAGGGAGTGGGGAGTAGAGAGGGAGGGGAAAATTGAGCTGATGCCAGAGGCTTAATTGGAGAGCAAATGTTTGAGAATGATGAGGACAACAAATGTACAAATGTGCTTGACACAATTGATGTATGTGTGGATTGTGATAAGAGTTGTATGAGCCCCTAATAAAATTATTAAAAAAACGACAACCGGAGAAGCCTATAAATAGTTCAGGGTCTGTTTGTTGACCTTTAGGAGTGTTTTCCAGTGGAGTCTGATGGGGTGCCACACTCTGTCTCCAAAGTCTATTTTTGGTATTCCCTAGGGGTTTCATCAGTCGGCTTACCCTGCTGCTCTGCTGCATGCCCTCAGTGCATCTCCCCAGCGTGATGGAGCCCGACCATGCACTATTCCCGCACTGTGTCTCCAGTGCTGTCCCCTGCGGTGCAATGGTTCAGTGAGGGACGCCATGTCCTGTGGTAGGGCCAGCCCTGCAGTCCTCTCCAAGGACTGTTGTCTGCTCCGAGCAGGAACATCATCCTTGGGGCTTGGTGGGCTAGGATGTCCTCTCCTCCCTCTCCATCCCTTTTTGTTTCTCCCGTGTGCTCTAACCCGACACGCCCCTAGCCCCAGTGCTGTCCTCCGAAGTGCATTCTTCGGAGGCGGGTATGGGGGAGTGTCCACATAGTCGGGACTGGGGCCGGCCCCAAGGACTTCTATTGGTTCCCTGATACATGCCGGTATGTTGTATTCACATCTTGGCTCATTGGGTTGAAACCTGGTCTCTCTCCTCCTGTGGAGATATAAACAATACCCTCTCCTTGGGTGGATTAGTGCCCTGCTCACCCCCCTACCCATGTCTTTTTTTCCTCTCTTTTC